CCCCATGACTGCATGTGAATAATTTATAAACCAAACAGACTAATTCAGGAGCAAGCCTAGTGATACTGTCATAGAGTAAAACAACCAAAGAAGGTTAGGGAATTTAGGAGCCATGGCTCCCTGGCTCCTGGGATGTGTCAAGCTCTTAAATGGGTGCTGGAAACTTGTGGGATCTATAAAAAAAGTCGTACAAAAAATTCACCTTAACATAATTCCCTAGGCATATATAGACATACATCCCTTTCCGCAGTTACACAGAGATCTCCACTTTCTTTCCATATTCCCATAGAGCTCTAAATCTCTTTCCACGGATGTAGCATCAATAAAGATTAACAGACAGCATCAGTAAAAATAAAAGGGACTGTGCCCATGGGCGTCCGCAGGAATTTTTCCAGGGGGGGGCATAATTGTAATGACATCCATGCTTGGTACCTTTTTGACAGTGTCATGAAAGGGAAGGGGCATAGCCATTATCACATAAAGCCAGGGTGAATAGCGTTTTCACAACTATGGTGTCAGGAATATATGTTTGTATTCCTGACACTATAGTGTTCCTTTAAGCAAATTAAAGGACCATTCTGGTCACCATAACAACTTCACCTAAATGAAAATGCTATGATGCCAGGAAGCCCCTGGGTGCTCGCTTTCCTTTAAGGGGTTAAATCGCTCTCAAATGGTTTAACCTCAAAGGCTTCCTCCAGCTCCCGGTCGCTCAGTGGTATTTGGCTTCTGAAACAGAGTGTCAGGAAGTGCAGATTGACGTCAGGCATGGGTGCCGCTGATTGGCTAGAGTGGACAGTTGACGCTCTAAGCCAATCGCTAGTTCCCGGTTCATAAAATATTTTGACTTTTTTATGAATGGGGAGCTACTGATTGGCTTAGAGTGCCAGCCGACCGCTCTAGCCAATCAGCAACACCCCTACCCAACGGCACTCTGTGCTTCCTGACACTCAGTAAATAAAAGTGAACACATTAACACCAATATTTTTTTACCTTTGGAGATGAGAAGGTCCAGTGTATCCCTGCCTGGCCCAGGTACCAAAGCCTTATGATGTGGTGTCCAGAATAAAGTGGAGGGTTCACTTCATTTGTGCTTCCTGCTCCAATCTCCTTTTCCTCTCCTTCATTTGACAGTCTTTTTTTTTTCTTCTGACACTATTTTCTATCCTTGGCCCCGTCTGCTCTTTTACCTTACTGCTACTTTCTGCTTATTTTGCGCCCTTCTGCGCCTTTCTCATTCTGATCCCTTTCTGCTCCTTGCAGACCCTTTCTGCTCCCATTTCTACTTTACCTTTGTGCTCCTTGCTGTCCCTTTCTGCTCTTTCTCCTACTTTACCTTTGTGCTCCTTCTGATTCTTTCTGCTCCTTTACCTTTGTGCTCCTTACTGCTCCTTGCAGGCCCTTCCTGCTCCTTGCAGGCCCTTCCTGCTCATTCTCCTACTTTATGTTTGTGCTCCTTCTGCCCCTTCCAGCTCATTTCTGACCCTTTGTGCTCCTTCTACTTTACCTTTCTGCTGCTTTACCTTCCAGCTCCTTGCTGACCCTTCCTGTTCATTTCTGTTCCTTTGTGCTCCTTCTCCTACTTTACCTTTTGTGCTCCTTGCTGTCCCTTCCAGCTCCTTGCTGCCCCTTTCTGATCCTTGATGTCCCTTCCTGCTCATTTCTGTTCCTTCTCCTTTTCTCACTTTACCTTCCTGCTCCTTGCTGACTCTTCATGTAGGCTGTCTCCCCCATCCCTCACTTCCATAGGCGTGCGCACGGGGTGTGTTGGGTGTGCCTGGGCACACCCTAATCCCTGCGGCACGCCAATGGATTGAGACCGGCAGGGGCGATCTCTGGATCTCCCCGGTCGGCTCATGCAGAGCCGACGCTATCCGAGCGGCGGCTCTGGTCTAAGCCTCCATGGGCCGGTGGGGAGATCAAAGTTCTACCTCACCGGTCCACAGCAGCATGGAGGGAGGCAGCAGAGAACCGGGCTAGAGTTCACTCTCCACTGAACCACCAGGGAAGGCAGCAGGACTGGGATATTAACTAATCTGCCCCCACTTCCACCCAAACATACAACACACACACACAGCACCTACACACATACATCACCCTCGCACACACAGCACCCACACACATACAACACCCACACACCCAACACACTAACAGCATCCTCACAAACACACAAAACCCACAAACAGCACCCGCACAGCACCCACAAACAAACAGCACACTCACACACAAACAGCACCCTGACAAACACACAACACCCACACACAGCACACTAACAGGACCCGCACAAACACGCACACACAAACACCCTCTCACACATACACACACACACAGCACACTACCAGTTCCCTCACACACAGCACCCTCACACACAGCACACTAACAGCACTCTCACAAACACACACAAAAACACCCTCACCCACATAGCACACTACCAGTGTATATATATATATATATATATGTATATATATATATATATACACATACATATACATATACACATGGTGTGTGTTTGTGCTTTAGGGTGCACACCCTAATGTAATAGGCTGCTCCCCCCCCCGGCTCACTCCCCTAATCTACAGGCTGCTGCCCCCCCCCAAATCTATAGGCTGCTGCCCCCCATAATCTATAGGCTGCTGCCCCCCCTAATCTATAGGCTGCTGCCCCCCTAATCTATAGGCTATCTCAAACCCCCCACCCCATCCCACACTTACCTGATCTGTAGGCTGTCTCTGGCTGCATGTGTTGCTCCCCTGCGGTTTCAATCAGCAGAGAGAAGCAGGGATAAGATGCAGCTTCCTATCCCTGTCTCTCTCCATACACAGCGCCACCTACTGGCCGGCGCCGGTATTGAAGTTCATTCTAAATCTCACACGAAAAAATATCAGAACAAGCTGAAAAATCCAGGGGGGGGGCAAGTGCCCCCCTTTGCCCCCCCCTGCGGACGCCCATGACTGTGCCACCAAACATTGCCCATACTGTGAATGAAGAGAATAAAACATTATTGAAAAAAATTATTGAAAAAAATCTATATACAATGCTAGCAGAAATGCCAGCAAATACATAAATTAGGAAAAAATGGTCTTTGGTGTCTCTTGTTTTGCTAACACAATGTATATATAGATTTTTTTTATTGTCTACATGTACAGTAAAACAAGAAACAATGTTTAGGCGATACAGTCCCTTTAAATAATGTTCAAACCACCAGTTATGGCTAATCCTGGCACTCCAGTTTCAGGCTTGGCAATCGTCATGTGAACCAAAGTTGACAGTAATTGCAGTGTCAAAGTTAGCCATTAGGGGTGCCACCTTTTAAAAAATAAATATATACCAGAGGTCAAGATCAGTCTGCAGAGGAAGAGTCAAAACCTGCTTATCAGTGTCATCGCTGTTCACAAACAGTTTGGTAGTGCCATTTTGGTCCTCAAACAGTGTATGAGTGCAATCTTTTTACCCAAACTGCGTTCCAGTACCGTCTTTGTCCCAAAGCAACTTGCCAGTGCCAGGTTTGCCCCCAAACAGTTTATCAGTGCCATATTTACCCCAAAAAGGCTCCCGTGTGGCATTAGCTTCTTTGTTCCAGCCTTAAAATTAGCGTTATAACAAAACAGAGCAAATTACAATATAAACAAAACCAACCACAACAGCATAACTAAAATGCATTTGTAAAAAATACAGACAAAATATCAGACTTTAATACCTTATTTACATGTCAGATTAAATCCGTTAAATCTGCTTGTTGTTTGTCTTCTTCACGTTGGGTAATTCTTTGCCATGTGCAGTATGGTGCGTTGTACTAAACTGTACCAATCTAATTGTCACATAACACAGTAGTTGAGCAATTCAGGAGGATTGAACTAGGGCACCCTTTTCACCTACTTTATCTATAGACTGCAGACGAAGGCTCGCTTAGAACATCACCATCATTGAAAAGTAACTCATATCAAGCCATAAGGTGATGGAAACATTAAAAAAAAAAAAAATAAGTTTTCTCTGCTAAAACTGTAAATATCATTTTGGATATTTTTTTCAATTTTTTTACAATCACAGTATAAGCAATATTAAGGTGGAAGAGTTACTTTAATAGACATACCCTTGTGTGTTTCTGTAGGGAATTTCAAAGAAATGGGACAGCCCTTGAATAATCTTGCAGATGAGGAGTTAGCAATGAGCAGGTGTCAGAAGAAGGTCGTTGGCAGAGCGAAGGGCATGAGAAAGGGTGTATTTATTGAGTAAAGAGGAAATGTACTGAAGAGTGGAGTCAGTGAGGGTGTTGTAGGTTAGCGGTTTCAATTGGATCACAGTGAAACGCTGAAGTTGTCATGGTGCTTGGAGTAACCCTTTAACCCCTTAAGGACCAAACTTCTGGAATAAAAGGGAATCATGACATGTCACACATGTCATGTGTCCTTAAGGGGTTAAGGGAACAAAGCCAGGATTATAATGGACCAGAAAGTTTCTGAGGAACATGTTGAGTGGGCTTTAGGAACACAACTCAAGGGTCGGGAAACACTCAACAACAACTACTCATTCTACTGTAACGGCACATAAATAAAGCATCCAGTGGAATGCACATCTTTACGTGTGTCATAGTATGATATGAGCCATGGATGGCAATGCTGATCCCTATCTGCGGCAGGAGTTCAACTATGATGCTCAGCCATACCTTCTGAGTATCAATGGAGTAGTACTTCTGCTGTAACTGAGGTAGTAGACATGTACTGTGAGAGAAGTGCAGTTCAACTCCCATTAAGGTCAGCCAGCACGCTGTTTCCGCCTCCTCATATTAAACTAATTTCCACTCATTTTAAAATCCATTTAAAAAAAAAAAGCCTGGCACTAATCCCTAATCCACTCTAGTTTTATGTTTTAATCATGATTCCTTATCTTTTTTTTCTTTCAACTAAATGTAAATCTCTGGTACTACCCCTCCTCCACCCCCTCCCCACTTCAACATGTCAGTTGTCTACAGAGCACCATTGCAGCAAGTACTCTGTTGCCATGACTGATTGCCATAGCAACAAGCATCACCTAATTCACTGCTGCACTGAAAGCTCTTGCTCACAAATGCTGTTCTGCTATCAGTTCGAAGCAGCCATTTCTGACACCAACGAGACAAAAGAAAAACAGAGACCAAGGTATCAGGTATAATGCATGCTGTTTGTTACTACAATAATGCTATTCACTTAAAAAGTTCCAATTAATGCAATTATGGTATAATTATATATATAAATATAAGTGTGAGTGTGTACTGAACATTATATTGAGATATGATAGGTACAATGTTTAATTCCCTATAATATATGCAATACTTAATATAGAATGACTAAACATCAGCATAGAATGTTGTGTCTACAGCATGTTAGGAACATAGTGTTTCGAATCATTAAAATCCTCTGGTCTCCATGCATGACATGGTTTTGTTTCCTGCTGATACTGAGAATAGATCAGTAGACATTGCAGGATTCCTGCTGATTGCTGAAGATGGACGTTATTTGGTAGCTGTCCGAAATGATACTTCCCTCCTTTTCGAATGTGATGGAGGTCAGGGCTGATAATTGCTGAGAGGATTAATCTGAGAATTTCTGCAGGGACTGGCATTAAGCTGGGATTGTCACAGCTCTGACATTGCAGAAAGCCTTCTCGCTGCTTTGCTGCAGTGGGCACCATACCCATTAAAAGAGGGTATTAAATGTGGTGCGGCAGTGAAAGCAAAACATTTTAAAAAAAAAACCTTCACAGTTAATTAAATAAAAATTAAGATGCGTTGAGACGGTGTCTATTTTAAGACTGCAGGCTGGCTATCAAGGTGTCAGAGCTAATCTCTAATTACTAGGTATTAATTAGGAAAATGAGTTATTTTTATTGTATGTATAATGTATATATCAATCGAAACCAGCTATGCAAACAGTGAGCTCTGTGTATAAAATGTTTAGTCATTCTCTGACTGTCACGCCACTTATTACTTCTATATATAAAATGATCTCTCCAGAATTTGCTCCCTACGCATGACAGGTGTAGTTTATGTATCACTTGTGTTTGGAGTTTTAGCCATGACTTGGCACAGTGATTATTTAATGATCACTGCTCTTACTGCTCCCATCCCACCACCAGTGACACATATTTCTCTTCACCCACAAGGCCATTTGGAAAATGTTTGGTTCCATGTTATGTCACTACCTTGATCCTCTGTCGTGTTACAAAAAACCTTTAATGCACATTGCAATTTCCTTGCGTTGGATTAGCCGAAATAGCTACAGGCCTCAGTATCTCCCTTAAATTATGCCCATTTAAGGGCCTTGCTAAAATAGATCAAACATCTATGATATTATTCTTCAAAACACTCCAAACTGCTCTATAAGATTCAACTCAGATTCTGTGAAGTAATTAAAATGTATATATATTTTTAGTCGTATTTATTTCAAAAGAGAAATCAGCTACACTATTTCAACTTTCTGACCAGCTTAAAGTAAAGCAGTCCTGTTCTGTTTTTATTCTTTCATTTTCCCTTTCCTTTCGTCTTTGTTATTTTAATAATTATATTTCCCTTGCCTTAATTTTGTTGTTTTTATCTTTACTTCATTGTGCCGAATCTCTCTATCTCTTTGCAGCCAGTTTGTTTTAATCTGCCCATGAGGTCTGCTCTTTTTGAAATTTGATTGGCAGTTAAAACAGAGCCTTGCTTAAGCTCCACCCATTGTCAAGTTTGTCAACTTTACTGCTATGTATAAGGAAACAAAGTCCCTACCTTTCCTTATGTATTTTATGAGATCTCAGCAAAAATATAAAGATATTCAGACACATGGAACCATATAGAATCTTATTAGATTAAGTTTATTTTTTTGGTGATCGAACGCCTTTATATGTTAAATAGAACGCCTTTATATGTTCTTAAAATAATTGTAAACCAAACAGAAAAACTCTCACTAAATTCATGTCTTTATAATATTGCCATTATCAAGATTATATTTTTTCTTATGATGAGGCTCACAGATGCCGGAATATGTGATGTTAACTTTGTGCCTTTTCTTAAAATGACTTAGGGTTTCAAGTCACTTTTTACTATTGTCATATTGTGCAGATAATTGCTTCACTATAGATGACACAAAGGAGCTCAATGAGATTTTCCTTTGAAGAGGATTGTATTACCCTTAGAGCTAGAATAATGCTTCTCTTTAACTAGTCACCTGTGGTGGTTTATTCATTAAACTGGGATTTGTGAAGACCTAATAAGGTTCCAAAAGAGCAAAATAGCTGTATCGTGATAACTGTTCCAAATCATTTATTCTTCGCAACATATATTCATAAGATACCAACATGAAAGTATATATTGGTACTAATGTTTAGTTTAAATTTTTCCATTTTTTTCTGCCTATCGTGAAAACTAAAGTTCATTTTTACGGATTTGATTTTTATTGAAGCACATCAAAAGCATTACTGAATTGCTATTCAGACTTAGCGAATTTAAATGATTATTGCAAACAACACAAAAATATGTGATCTGGAAAAACCATTTCAAACTATTTTTCTATTCTGTTATATCTGTTGCACTTTGATTAATATTTTCCTTCTTCCGGCGATGTAATTATTTTGCATGAATAGGGAGCAGACAGTTTCTAAGCTGCTCGGATGTAGTTCATTTGGTTATTTGTTGATAGGAATATGTGGCCTGCAGTTTTAATACTATGATGTATATATTTAATCTGTAATCGCAGTAGGTTATGTTCGGTAGATTATGGTTTTTAGATTTTTTTACTGCATTTTAAAATGAGCAAAATGAGCATTTTTTTTAAACAAAGATACACATTTCAGAATTTTCCATACACATATATAATTTGGCAATAATAATTCTAATGGTGTACCAGCTGATCCTATAGTTGGTTGTTAAATGGGCTCTTGAATTATCAATTGACATTACTTCTGCAGGACTCCCTACAGTTCCTTTTTTGAACACCATTTTTGATTGGAGTAACCCCATAAAATTAAATCTGGCTCTGTTTGGGAACCCTGCAGGTGTAGAGTGATGACTCAGTGCTGGGCAGTGTGCCTGTATCTGTGTGAGAGCCACACAAGCAAAGAGTAGAAGAGTAGAAGGAGTTTGAAGGGAGAGGTGGCAAATGCGTCCTTGCCTGTGTAGCCAAAACTCCTTTCACTGAGAAGCTTCTAAGTCTTGGAGGACTAATGTTTATGGTAATAGAGAAGACAGTACAAGATTGAGTGTTCACATATTGTTGGCCTGTTGTTTAGCCTGAGAAAATGATAATTTGCACCGCCCATGGGAGTGGATAAATTGTAGATGCTCCTCTCGTTGTGGACCCTTGCCCATAACACATAGTCCAGAAATTGATTTCCAAGAACACATAAGGGCATGCAGTCCACAAACAAGAACACATAAGGGCATGCAGTCTTCCAACCCCGAATCAACTGTATACGTTCTCCTGTCCTAGAATTCCAACACTCACTATCCTTGTATAGCTACCCTCCCCTGCCACATCAATAGACTCAATTCTTTAAATGGAAGCTGAGATGGAACATTGCTTAATAAGAGTAATAAAAACATGTTAAAACCAGAATGGGCACATGACAGCCATAGCTGCCTTGCAGTCTACTGTTCTTGGGTGCATGGTTCCTTAGTGCCCCTTCATGTTGAGTAGCAGACAAACCTTTTATTTAATTACTGTTGCATATAGCTTCACTCTTGTATCTCATTAATTTTCATCCTTGTTTTTGTATGTTAATTATATAATTGTATATTAAGAAGAAAATCTATGGGCAAGAATGGGGAAAAAAAAACCTATACAAATGAACAGAAACAATATTAATGATATTAATTATAATATCCACATGAATGAATTTTGAATCCTAGAACACCTTTCCGGTGTGCACTGTCTGTTAAAGTGCTAACAGTACCTTTGTTTCTACATTTCAACATCCTTTCTTCTCCTACTCGACCTTTGCAATGCTCTTGACAATATCATCCTCAATCTTTCGCCTCACGGCTCATCAACTCGCCCATCTCTTTTGTCAGCTCCTCATCATCTCTGTACGCTGACAATCAATAAATGTACCTATGTGCATTTGGACTCGAGCCAGCACGCCTCTCGCTATGCTGCCAGAATACACTGTGAAAATGGTTGGCGTGCTCTCTCTGATTCAGTCTATAGATACCTAACAACATAAAACCAAAACAAGGCATTAAAATGCATCCGAGTAGAAGTACATAATACGGCTAATGTTTACTACCTTTACCACTTGACTGGCATCCTAATAACTAATTATTTTATTTTCATTCGATCTTTGGGTATACAGTAAAATGATAGTTTATTTAACAGTGAGCTTTCCTAATGATGCTACTTTAGCCTATATTGTTCTCTTCAGATGTCAAGTAAGAACTGATTAAGTACCTATGAGTATACGAGCCCTGTAGCTTCTCATTGGAGCATGGAACGTCTAGCAGCCTTCCTTTTGACATTAACCCTTCATTCTCAGTTTGGTTTGATTTGATTTTGCACGACAGTGCAAGGCATAATGAATATCATTAGAATAAATACTATTCACATTATTTCTGGTCAGCCTAGTCCCATGTTTATTAGAGAAGGATTTTTTATTATTATTATTATTATATAGCAATCAGCAATGTCCTATGACACAGATGCCCACTTTTAGCCAAGCAATTGTATTTACTATCTGTGGACATTTTTAGCTAATGTGATTTTTAGATTCTGGTATCATTTTGGGAATCTGCCCTCCCAAATACTAACAGAAGAATTCCCAATACCCACAAAGTGTTATTTAGCCTTGTAGATTCATTTTCTATCTTGTTAAAAGTACTGCAAGATGCTTTTAATATAATCTCCATTTATTCCGTCCACCATCATTATTTGTGAAAAGGAGAAATTAATCAATAATACAAAAACGGTTTCTTTGAATACAGGCAGTCTTGCGATGTTGTATTTTCCAGGGAATTATATCTGACTTTTTATCCTGCTGAGTTGCTCATGACACCTTTTTAGTAGAATATTTCATACAACATTTAATAGAACATTGCATCAGCCTAGGGCAGGGGTAGGCAACCTTCGGCACTCTGGATGTTGTGGACTACATCTCCCATAATGCTTTTACACACATAATGGCAGATGTGGCAGATGTAGTCCATAACATCTGGAGTGCCGAAGGTTGCCTACCCCTGGCCTAGGGACATATTGTGTTTGCAGCTAAAAAAAACTGCAAAGAAATCCACCCACTGTATTCTTTAGTAAAACCTCCTTATCATTTATTAGTGATTTTGTTTCTTAATCCCGCTGTTCATTCTTTAATCCTCTTTAATATTTAATAATGCATGCTGCTCTCCAGTCGTCTATGCTAGAGTGTTTGGGCACTGTGACAGGGACTGCAAAAGGAACATATGTTTATGTATATAAATGACCATTTTCCTCTATAATATTATACAATTCTTAGCTCTTCTGCAGCTGTAGGGTAGGGTGTCTGCTAGCTGAGAATTCTCATACTCAACTTTATCATACTCAATGATTGTAATAAACTCCATTCTGCTTCCTATGAATCTTAAATCAGAACTACCAAAAATCCCATATTGGTGTAAGAGCGCCTACACAGAGCTCATACATACGAAAGCCTTGGAGTCTGGCACAGCAATATTTTGTTGAACAGGTCAGTAATGCTGGTCCAATTGTAAGACAGGTAATTCAGACTCGATCGTGTGTGCTAAACGTCATGCTTTATTGATATTATTTTAACATGAAGAAAGTTCATATGGACACAGTGAGTAGAGGGGTCACAAAGGAACGAGGTGCTAACGCATTTCACGCCATTCAAGGCATTTCCTCAGAGACCTGCATTCTAGCCAGGCACATCTTAAATAAGTGAAGTAAATGTAACAAAACACAGCCAAATTATGGCCGGGGAACTACCACGGAACAACCCAACCCTAAATGCTACAATGGCAGTCTGGAGGAGACTGGCGACCCACACAGACTTAGCCCCGGAGCTCTCACCACTATGTCCCATATCACACAACCCAAAATTTATCCCTGCATTAGACCCCCACTACACGGCTGCCCTGGGCCTACCGACCTACCTCTGCAGATTGAAGGACATCTATGACCAAGGCACAATTGTGCCCCTGACCACCCTGGTCCCAAATACTCCACACAATATGCTACTACGCTTCAGATATCACCAACTGACGAGGTTTCTGAGAAGTATACCGACCCTAGACTCGGCAACACGAACGCTCTCCGTTTTTGAGACCATCTGCATGAACCCCCCCCCACACGCAATTTTGATACTGTGCTGCATGCAAACCACCACCACCACTAACGCACCCCCTCCTTACTTCACTAAGTATTGGGAAAGGGATCTAGGACACACAATCTCAGCGGAGCAATGGACAACAGTGTTTACGCTCACACACAAAGCCTCCATCTCCACCAAATTCCAAGAAACAGGATATAAAATGCTCTTCCACTGGTACAGGACACCGGGAAAACTCAGCACGATGAAAGCCATGAACGACCCAGAATGCTGGAGATGCGGGAGGGAACTGGGATCCCTCTTCCACATATGGTGGTCCTGCCCCCTTATCCAGCCCTCTTGGACAGAGGTCCACAAGATACTCACAACCATAACAGAAGCAAACCTGCTCCCCACACCAGAAACATTCCTGCTCCAACTAACACAGATCCCCATCAACAGGTTTAAAAAAACGGCATTCCCACACCTAATGAACGCAGCCCGCAGCCTCATCCCGGGGCACTTGAAACAACGCACGGCCCCGACAATCAGAGAATGGATGACAAGGGTGGAAGACATCAGATGCATTGAGGAGCTCATCCACTCCGCAACCGGACGCGTACAACGCTACCACATCGCGTGGTACCCCTGGCTCCAATGGCTCACCTCCACCGCACCAATTACGGGGGCCACACAACACCCGGCAGTGGAGGCAGACGGGACGGCCATGATGGAACCGACTGGCGATAATACGGAAGCTGGACCAACGACCCAACTAAACCAAGACGACCACGCGGAGCTGGAGATGCCCCGTGTCCAGGGGGCGGGGGGGACTGGGGTGGGGACCTGGGACCTGACACCCCCCCCAACCTCCCGCACCCCCCCCACCTGCAATATCCTCACCCCATTAACCTACATCCCCATCCCTCCGCCCCCCCCCCCATAACACACACTAAAACACATGACCCACCGCCGACAGGCTGACCTAAGAACACGACCTACACACACAGAGACACCCCATCACTTGCGAGACCGACTACACACCACAGCACTCACAAAAGACCCACCACGACCTGCAAACGCCGGATAATGGATGAACCAACCCAACAATACCCAAGAACATTATACCACGATACCAGACACCACCCAACCCTCACAACCCGGAACAGTATCCGCTCGACCGAAACACCCCCGACGCAAACCGGAGCTTTAAACAAGCCCAGACGGACACCAGACACAGAGGAGACACCCCAACAAGACAACACCCTGACGCACGACATCCACACGACCACCGCCCACAAACATTAAAGAACAGCGACTAACACCGAGGGGACACCCGTACCAAACACACACACAGGACAAAATTAACTGACGGACCCCTTGACCTCCAAACGCCCCACTCCTCGACAACTGCTCCCCGCCCTCCACCCCAACGGATCTTGAACAGGCCTACCTAACAGGGACCCCAGGACCGTGCCTCCCTGCTGCCCACACACGCCCTCCACCCACCTCCGCACGCGTGCTTGGCTTGCCAAATCATATAACCTGCCCGACACACCGCCAACAACACAGGAGCCTCTGAAAACAAGACGAGTCGCTGCCTCCTAATACTTACCCCATCCAGCAGGCTACCTGTACTAAGGGAATGCACCACATAGCTCAAAATTCGTACTGTATAATCTATAATGCGAACTATGTCCTTGCATAGACCACAACAAAGCTGTACACTTTACGGACTTGTCCAACAAGGCTAGGTGACGTGCCATGAATGCTATTGTATTGCCGTTAGATGCTTATCATATATTAACAACAATGTCTGCCTTTACAACTCAGTCCCCGAACTGGCCTTCATCTGCTGACGGGTGACATTTAAACATGAATGCTTAAAATTGTTAAACAAACGTCTGAACTATTTGACCGCTGGCAGCATCAGAAGCCAACGGCCAAATAGGTGAAAAACCTCTGTGTCATTGTCCTATTACATTGAGACCTGCGAGTCTCCCGTACACCTTCACTGTAATGATGTTCTACTGTAACTGTAATTACGATTCTACGCCTTAATAAAGCCTTGAAAGAAAGAAAAAAAAAAACCACAGCCAAATTAATCCAAAAAACCATTGAGTACAGAGTATCAATCGATAACAGGCTGTCCTCTCCAAGCTAGATGAAATATGACATGCAAACTAGCAACAAGAAAACCAAGCCAGTTAGCATGGATAAAATATAAAACGATTACCTGAAGTCTGATACAATTTAAAGAGTGCAGTGTACTAAGAAATAAAGGGCAGAGATCCCAAGCCATTAAAAGGAATACTATGTAAAAATGTTGCTCAATGTCTAATACAACGTGAAGCGTGGAAAGAGCAGTCCAGGAAGATACTTAGGAAACAGAAAATAAAATAGAATAATAGCACAATAAAAAAAAGTATAACTTAATGCAAACAAATATCTAATTATGGAATTGAAATCCCACTCTTAGTTTAGGCCTTGAGTTATTGCACAATTATTCCAATAGATTTTTCTGAACATTACCAGCCATGACAGGGGTTAAAGATCTCACAATACCCTAAAAGGAAAAATAGCTAATAGTCCCTTCGATACAGTGGTGCAAATGTTGAGCGACTGGAGATTTATAATGTATATTCTCCACATCCAATATGTGCGCTCTAATTCATGCCTTCAATTCACATTGGGTTTCTCCCACATTTTAAGAAAGTGATAAGGCTTAGGAATATTAAATGAGGTTGGTTAGGAATATTAGTTATTTTTATTTTTTTATACTTTACCTACTGGTGCAAAAAAACTCTCTGCATGTGGACTTAAATTTATTTGCAACTTTCTACAAGGTGCTTTGCAAAAATCTTTTTGTATAAAACAAAACAAAAGTTTCGTAACCCCTTAAGGACAAATGACATGTGTGACATGTCATGATTCCCTTTTATTCCAGAAGTTTGGTCCTTAAGGGGTTAAAGGACACCTGTCATGCCCCCAACAATGCATGCTCATTCTATCTATACCTTGTGCTATATTTTACCTTGAATACATCATGTAACTTTATGATATAAGGTGTATTCAATGTATATGGGAGCAATTTCATGCAAGTGAAAATTTACATGACGGGTTCACTTTTAAACCCAAATCAAAAACATAACAAACCCAACTAAACCCCATTTAATGAAATTAATCAAAGTAATATCCTAAGCTGCAAAGATTTAAGTGGGAGAAATAGAATTATTATCACTCTGCCGTTATATTAACATACTGTTTAAACCAGTTTAGGAATTAATCTATAGCATTGACAAATGGTGTCAGATTGCAAAAATCGGGCAGCCATTTTATTTAAAGCGTTACTCAAAACATAATAACCACTATAGCACACTGTACATCCAGTTGTCTGGTTACAATTACACGTCTGTTAGTCCACCCATTGTACAGCGCTACGGAATCTGATTGCACTATATAAATAATAAAATAATAATAAATAATAATAATAATGCCAGGATTACCCAGGTCTTGCTCCCCGGTAATGGGGCAAACTATTTAACAAGGTTTGCCCTCTTACCTGGCTTTTGGCCAGGCTCTGAGCCTCCTAACTTATCTGCTGATGCATTCTGGCTTCTGCATAGCTTCAAAGCCAGAAGTCGATCCAACCACCATTCATTGGCCACTGACCAATCTCAGCCACGATGCAAAAAACTAAATTGCACAGAATTGACATTAGCCAGCCCATGTCCAAGCCTTGTTGAATGTTGGCTTATTACTCCCCCAAGGTACCATTACTACTTCAAATAACTGAGGTGGTCATGGTGCTTGGAGTGACACTGTAAGTTCTCTTGAGAGAAAATCATCATTTAAAGTGCAAAAAACTGTAGTGACCAGATTTTCTTCCATTGACTGTTTGGGGATCAGGAATAAGACTGTTAACATGCAGGTATGCCATAAGAATTGAAAGATACCAATCTTTGCATATTTCACCACCAGCATAAAGAACTGTAAGCGCAAATGTTAAATTTCCCATTTATTGTACACTAGTAAACTGGATGCCATTCCCCACCTCCACTACTGGAGAGTGGGTTCTTTGTAATCAGGAGCTTCCATTTGCTCAACTGAGCTAAACTCTGCAATGAAGGGCTTAGCTCATTGGCTGAGAATGTCTGCTGTAGTGGTTGTGGTTCTTGGAGTGTTCATTTAAGTGTCTGTTTTTTCCCCCCTATTAACATCACCAAAATGTTTGGCCTTGTGATGTCACTTATTCTGATTTAAAAAAATCTGATTCTTCTACATAATAACGTAGCAGATGTTATCGATCAGTGCACTATGCGTTACAGGCAAACCTAAATATCTTTGCAGTATTGCTCCTGCCATGTGCAGTTTTTAAAAAATCAATACATTTGTTCCTTGTAAAACTAACTTGTGCTGTCAGTCATTTTACTAAAATTATAGAAAAGGGATATTTAGAGATTGTTACCACTGCTCTAACCAGAAGAACCAGCGTCTAAACACAATAAAGTCTGCTGGATTCTTCATGTACTCACCAAGGTAACTGCTGATGCAAGCATGAATGTTTGTGTGCAATCATCTGTTGCAATAATACAATTAAAATATCTGTAAGGCAAGCGTATCAGCAGGTTTGACTAATTATGTTTATACTGAATGTAGGTCCATGTCCAAAATAAATAAAATGCCATTAATCCCCTAAAGACCAATGAAAGTCTTGGCCACTATAACAACCTATTCTTTTAGGATCCTATTCCAAAATGGAAGGTGCCACTCAATTAATGACTGTAGGCCTGTATGGAGCCACAAAAGATAATCCATGCTGGAATAAGATATTTATGAAGCAGAATGTGATGATGGCAAAGGGTAACATTTGGTTCTAGAAGGGTTAATAAAATTATGTACTACCACTAAGTACAATACATTCCAGGTGAACAAAGAAAAGTGTCTTAAATTAGATTCTATTATTTCTGAACGCTCACGTAGCTAAAGCATTATTAGGAGGCCTCGAGATGAGGAGCATTTGGTGAATTTGCTAATTTCCAAGGTTATTTACTAAACCAGACATTATCAGGGATTAACCAATTAAATTTACATTTTAGCTCAGCTTTGTTTCCAGCTCAGCTATTTTGGAATAATCTTTTAAATTCTCCGTCAGTTTCCACCAATTCCCAGCTAAGTCACTCAAGGGACCTACATTGACCCAGGATTCAGGATTGACTGCGTTCCCAGTAAGGTTCCACCTTTTAAAATCTGTGAAGTACTACTGCATCTCTCATTTTATGGTATACATGAGAAAATGCCCTTCGTTGTGTTATATGGAAAGCGTGGGGTGCTGTGCATTATCTTGGACTGTTTTTAGAGTATAATTGGAGACATCCTTACTGCAATATCAGTGACATATCCTACACAGATCTCTTATTCATGGTCCTTCACGCAACATAAGCAAATGTGCACACAGGCTTTGCAAAGAGCATATTGTATTATATATAGGTTGCACTCCAACTATCTTCTGGAGTTCTCCCACTTGTCTGATCCTTTACCGGAGGGTGGGTTGAATTACTTGTGATGTGTAAAGAGTAGGAATGAGGCCCATACCTCCATTACAGCTGTACCAGAGCATAGAGAAGGCATAGAGCCCCTTATTTCCTCCCCTCTATCACATACAGCACAGGATGATGACAGTGATGATGGTGTCAGTTGGCAAATGATGAAATGTGGCTACAGCCAGGAGAGCTATAGTTAAGGGGCATGGTGAAGAAACACTGTTGATTAGATTGGAGGAAGAACATGGAATAAGGAAGAGGATATGCTTGGGGTAACTGAGGATAGAAAGTATGATTATCTAAAGATGACAGATGGAGCATCTGTTGCAGATCAAACAATTGTCTAGTGATGAGATAGAGAACTAGCGTTATAGATAGAAATGTAGGTATGAGGACTGGTGAATTGATGCTGGTCTGGTAGAATATGAATTGTGGGATGGGACATTAAACAGTGGACTGTCGGCAAAATGAGTGGCTTGAAATGAGGAGAGCTGTGATAGACAGAGCTGTAGATGAGATGGGGAGATGGAGAGCGTTGGAGTCAACATAAAGTTGGTAGGAATTGAGTGTGTATGGTCTGGATATAATAGTGTAGGTGAAATTGGTGGCTTGAAAAATGGGAATTTAAGACAAGCGCAGCTGTCCACCTCCACTCAAATACTGAATATCTGATATCTATGCAAAGGGCAACAGCGAACCCTGAACGTGCCTTTTATGATCTAGCATTATAGTAATTAGATAGAAAGAGCTAAAAAATATTAGCCATGAGCTCACAATCTTAAAGAGAAAACAAATAATGTCCGACATGTTTGAGGAACATCATGGAAACATTTAGGAGGTAACTAGATATGATTTGAGGTAGTCTACAGTGGGCTGGCTCTAATTGGAAGAGGTTTCATCTTACTTACTTGAGAGCATCCAGGGAGATAATAATGTAAAAACATTAGTCATGACATTAAAAAGATAAAAAAGATTACAAAAAAAACTCAATTCATTTTTTTTTCTCGTTATGCATTATCTAGTTATTCTGGCATTTGAATTTAGATAGCGGGACATTGAATCAACTATTTAAACATATTAAACTCAAAATATTAATAAAGGGAATGCAACATTAATAAAGAAATATTTGCACTATAATGAACATTTTGTAAAAAAAATCATAAACATTCCTAATGGAAGCTAAAATAGTCCTGTAATTAATTAATTAATTAATTAATTGATTTCTAGATAAGAAATAGCCATAAAAAGTAAGCATAATTTTTCCAATCACCTGCGGTGCTGTAACATTCCCTGATTTAATTGTACATGAATTAATTTGCCCACCTGTTCTGCTGCCATTTAAATAAATTGTTGGATATTCACTGAGACTCCTAATTAAATCACTTCTTTTATGGGGTGTTTTTTTTTTTTTTCTTGTGACTTCTTAAAAGCCTGCTTCTTACTGTAACACTGGGATTATTGACTGCACTGTGCTCTATCTTGCTTTATCCATGAATCCATGAACTTGCTAATAGATTTATGCGCATCTCTCAGCACCAAATTGGTAATTATTGTGGCCACAGAAGTGAAAGATTTATCTTTGACTTGTTAATACAATTCACAAGGAATGCACTTTGTCAAAATTGGCATTTTATCTTTGCGGAGATAAGATGTTGCAATTTAAAGTCCTGTCATCTTACTCTTAATGTCTTAGAACTCTTTCAAAGTGATCGCTTTATTCAGTAATTAAATCGGACTTGCCTTAAAGGGACACTACCCACACCCTAAATGTGTGAAGAGTAAGTCCTCTTTTTTTTTATTATTATTATAATTTTACAAAAAGTGCAGTTGTCAACAGAAATTGGCACTCTTATAAATTAAAGGATCACTCCACTCTGATTATAAATAAAAATGAATACATGCATGCATTTTTACTGCATGTAGTCATTGGGGTTAAATCTAAAAAAAAAAAAAAAAAGCTTGACAAAGCTGCGGTTCTTCTGACTGCATCCTTAGCACACCCTCCCCTTCATCTCCAGAAGAGACTTCAGTTTGTACCAGGGAAATGGCCAGTCATAAGTTTCTCATTGGGAGGTGGAGGACAGGAAGGATGCCAGAGGAGGAAGTTGCAGAGATTTTTCAGTGAAGGACAGAAGATGAATTGTGAGAATGCAGGCGACGAGCAGTGGAATATCGTGGCAATATGGAGCTTGGCAAAGGAAAGTGGAGCTTGCCTTCAGCTTCACGCTTAGTCAAGGTTTGTCAAGAGTAAGGGAAAATACAAAAGTCATAGTAGTCCGTAGTTTGCCCTGTGTATTTTACAAGAGGAAGATGAGAAAGGAAGAAAAGAAGGTTAGATTTGAAAAGAGGAGGAATCGGTTTAAGAAAGGTACGTTTGACTTGACAGAGCCATTTCCTTCCCTCTATTCCCTGTATACTTTCTCTATCCTGACGGCCAGGTTTGAGGCACCCAGTTTTAGGATATATACGAAGAGGTGTGTAATTCTACATTTCATTTTATTTTTAATACCTCAGAAATACATATTCATTACATATAGGGAAAAGTACACATAACATTAAAATGCTGGAAGTGACAGCTGTCCCTTTAATTTCTTGTGTTTAATCAATTTTCTTAATTTCTTTTTTTTTCATCCCACAATGCGCTACATGTAGCTCAGGTGCTGGCTGATCTGATTATGATTGCAGCCATCAATCAAGTACCATAGCATGAGTCAGAGGCGTAACTAGAAACCACAGGGCCTGGTGCGAAAAGTGCTCTGGGACCCCCCCATGCATCTCCCCCCTCACACCATATTTGTATAACATGTACAGATACATACTCAGACACACATGCTAATACACAGACACACAGAATGACACACATTCAGATACACAGAATGACACTTCTATAGATACAAACACTGACACACATGTGGTGCACAGACGCATATACAGACAGACACACATATAGACACACATGCGGGCACAGATACACATAGAGACATACAGATACACATACAGACACATACAGACAGATACACATATAGACGCGCATGCAGATATACAGACACACTTAATGACAAACATTCAGATACACATACAGACAAACAGATACCCATTCAGACAAACATATACACAGACAAATAAATATACATTAAGACACACTGATATACAGACACACACATACACGCAGACAGACAAACACAGACAGACAGACAGACATACAGACACACACACACAGACAGACATAGAGAAACAAACACAGACATACACATACAGACACACACACAGACATACAAACAGAAAGACACGCATACACACACACGACTTTCTCCCAGTTCTGACTTCATCACTGGTGCCCAGCCGCGCTCTTAAAGCACCGCAGCGCTGACCGGGCTCCAGGAAATCCATTGCCACCGGGTGGCCCGAAGAGCACGGGCCACCCGATGGGCTCCTGCAATGCGGTCCCGGCGGTCCCCAATGTGGCCCCGGAGCCGACAGGACGGCCGGGCCCCCTGGAGTGATGGGCCTGGTCGCAGCTGCGCCCCCTGCAACCGCAGTAGTTCCACCTGTGGCAGGTGTAGTTAATTGCCAATCTGTTATCGCACCAGGGAAGTGAAACCCATGATTCGAAATAACCCCTATATATTAGCATTAAGAGGAAAGAAAAACCATGAAATTCTGCAAACTGACAGGGGCCCACACAGCACTAAACCAAACACTATCTTCCTTTCTTGTGTTTTCTTTGAAAGAAGTCAGATTATATTATACAGCAAAGCATTTGTATTCTGTGCAGTAAGCAGATCAGTGCTTCCTAGTACTGAGATAAAGGAGAATACACTGTAGAATTTGCTATGTGAATTCCACGACAATCTTTTGCAGGTTTAAACACAATAAATCTGAAGGATAATGCAGCTATAACAATGTGTTTTGAAGACAATGAGTTTATCATCATCTCTCAAAAGAGGTGTTTGTACTACTAATAGCAGAAATGTCAAATCAGCTGTTTTAGTGGTAACTTAATTGGAAAACAACTTAATTGGAAAAATCCTGCACTCGGCTGCATTTTCTGCTCCACTGTTTGAAAATGCGCTAATCTTTTGTCATTACTCTACAATAAACTGTTTAGTGAGAAACACTCCAAATGTAAGATTCATTAGTTATTCACCAAAGCAATAATTGTTGGAAACACTTGGCCAAGTCATCCGAGCTGGAAATAAATATCTGGGTTGGAAAATTGGACATTTATTTCAGATTGGTTATTTTGGCATAGGATTTGAAATCCCATGAATTCCCCCAAACTAACTGTTTATTTAGTGAATAACCTTCAATGTGTGTAATAACGATATTGACCATTTAAAATCTTTCGCTCTTTGTATCTATTTACCCTTAATAGATCTTACAATTCTAAAGATTCGCACAGTTTTACCATCACCATGATGGTGAATTTTTACGCCAATCTTTTCAATAAAAACATTTTATTTATCTTTTTTAACTGGTTAATTCGCTTTTCTTTTTCCATCATTAGGTTTTGGTAAAGATAATAATTTATTATTATCCATATTCTGGCATTTATTTGCACTAAAATAAAATCTTATGCTATCACTCCACCTTGTGGGCCAGTGATTAATACAGTTGATTATCCACCAGAAAAGGTGTAGTCTATATGTAGGGGATTTATCAAAAAAATTGAGAAATAGTGAGTGGACAGTTGTCCACCTGCTCCCCCTTTCACCTTGACAAGAACAAGCTTTTATGCACATCCAGTCTTTAGCTCAGCAGTGTGGAATAAACAGAGCTCCCTGTCAGATTCTACCATCTGCAAGGCTAAGCAAGGGCAAATCCATTACAATGAAAGACATCTGAATAAAAGCGGGAGCAGCAGGAATAGCAATTAAATAAAAAAAATAAAAGTAATATTTTTTTTATGTGGTGGGTGAACAATTGGATGACATATCCAAAAATGGCCTTACTGTGGATCAAAGTTTCTGTCATGTCCCTAAACCGAATAAGAACTGACAATAGCTGCCTTACTGTCCAATCCTCATTCCCAGCGGGGAGTCAATGAAAGTGGAGTGGTGGGAATACAGAATACAGATTGCCCTCTGCTGTTCCAAAATTCTTTCAACCATTTCTAAAGTGGCACTCCAACTTGTGCTGACATCCAGTCAGAGATTTGTGAAACCCGGTTTTCTCTTGTTCCTGTCTTGCTAGCCCTCACGCTACAGTGCATTGTTTAAGAAAAGTTTGTAGTAAAGTCTTCGTTCACTACCACCATCATACCCAGACACAGTGGGTACCACCAGTGTGCCATCAAAGAAAGAAAAACATGCTGGCCAGTAGGAGCAATCCATAAATCAGTTAGCCTGCTGTTATGATATGACCCTGGAATAAAATGGGCTGGTGAAAACTTCCCTGGGATGATGAAGACTCCAATTGTCCTGCTCTAACCTGCCTCTGTTGATGACTGGCTATATCCTCAACATCCCTTTGATCTACCAAAGGGAGTAAATGGTGCAGGAAGTAGTGCTGCTGCTGTTGCTCCCCCACTTTTTTAAATGCCTGTCATTGTAGTGATTTAACCCTGTATAAAAAATGCTCGGTGCAATTACTATTACTGTAACATTATTGTGTTTGACTACACTGCACACAGCACACACTGCTATTTACAGTGCTTTGACACTTGCACAGCACATACAATTATCTTCAGTGATGTTGTTCTCTGCCTGAAACACTATTACTGCCACACTCAATGTAAGTACACACTGTGTATATTACTACGGTAGGAAGCTTACAGTTTACACAATTTTCACTACGAGGCTCTCAAAGTGATCCCAAACACTGCTTAATTGGTGCAATACATTAGCTGCTAGTCTTTGTCTTGGGACTGCGGTGGTGGCTTTTGGCTAAGGTGTTCAATTCTCAAAAGCGTTAACACTATTGTTGATGGTTAATTAAGGAACAGATCCCCTACCCAACCTCAATTCTGTCTTGGAATTAGTAAGTGACATTGATGATGGTGAGTTTGTTTTCTTATTACATTAAATTAGGAATATGAATGATTGACAACTGTGTAAACTAACACAACTTTATTCAGTAAAATGGATTGGTGCTTATTATATTACTGTAACATTATTCTGTTTGACTTTAAGAAACATTGCACAACGCTCAAAGACTTGCAAAGCATGCACTGGACTGCACATGCAGACAAATATAAAATAAAAAAAAGGACTGTGTTCCCCCTAACAATTAAATGAAAAAAAAAGCACTAGATAAGTTGTCCAACATTGTTGTCAATCTAGTAGCTGTGAATGAATATCAATTTTGCTTAAAAATGCTTAAAATTAATTATTGTCTAGATGTGGCTCTTCTGATGATGCACTTTACTCGAAGCCATATATGTATACAATGGATGGCAACTCTGTTAAATATGTTGTATGTTTGCTATATGTTTTTGCAATTACATAATAAAAAATATATACATATATAGATATATAAAAAAAAAAACCTGTCAAAGTGTAAATCATTCATTCCAATTTGGAGTTAAGTGACACTGCATTTACCATAAACAACAGTGTCACACTAGAATGAATGAAGTTATGAGGCTATCTCTAATTTTCGCAGTTTGTGTTAGTGTCATTAGCTAGGAAATCACACCACAAAAAAAAGGTTTTTCTTTCTACAGTTAGCAGAAAAACTAATAACTTTTAATGTAAGTTGGTGTTACATGTCAGAGGCAAAGAGTGCGACACTGCACCAGACAATGCCAACAGTGTCACACAGGTATCTCAGTAACTCTGTGATTGCCAATATGGGAGTTTCTGGGCAAGTGGAATACTTTTCTTATTTTTTTCGACTTACAACACCCCCAGAAAAGGATTTTTTTTCTAGAAACGATTAACAATAAAGACAGCTTTTAGCAACTGTATATTGTTAACCTAGCCTCACACTAGGATCAATGACATAATGGCAATCACCTATCTCCCACTCAAAGCTGTTTCAAATGCACCTGGCTGTACCTAGCTCGATAGAGTAGAAAGAGTAGTGAGCTAAAGCTAGTCTCACACTAGAATTAATGACCCAGAATTATAGATTGCTTTACAACTTCTCCTTTTTCCCTTTTATCGGTCAGTTGTCAATTGATCTGTGAATAAAATAACATTTACATGCTGCCCCCTAACCATGAATTGTCTTTTATTTACCACCTCTTGATAGGAAAGGAGACTCAGCCCACACAACTGGGCAGATCTCTTGTACATCATGACAAACTAAGCTGCTTATTTGCCCCACACCAAAAAAAAAATTATTTTTCTCCCATCTCCCTTTTTTCTGGTGCCAGGAACAGCACTCCGAGTCAAAAATAAAAACGAGCATGTACGGGCTTGCGCTAGTCTGTTCCCCTCAGATTCAGGTGTGACACCGCTTGTAAATTTAAATTTCAGCTAATTATCCCTAATTTGACCGCATTGTCGCTTTGCACAAAACAAAGCTCTAACTCTAATTATTATTAAAAGTTGCTTGGTTTCCCCGAAAAATATAAGTACAGTATGGTGCGAAATGAGAAAAAGCAAGTCAATCGTGAGGGTACTAACCTTAAGGGCTCATTAAAGATTCTTAATCATAAGTTTAATATGCATAATTTCATCCCAATGTTATGTTTTTCCATCCCGTATAACTATACAATTATTGTTAGATTTTACATTCCTAGCTTTAATTACTTATGTTCGGTGTTGGACACCATAGCCTCATCATAATTATTATAGAAATTCATCAGTTGGCACCATGAACCACCACTGCCAAACTGTTACCAACTTTAGGAAATGAATTGTATATCATTGAAAAGAATCATCAAATTGTTGGGGGGTAGAGTTCATGCTGGGGGCAAGCGCCCCCCACTTGTCAAATAACAAAGCCTATGGATATCAAAATTTGCTAAATTTATTTGTCTAAAATCCAAAATCACTTAAAAATCATCCGATGGATTCCTATTTGTCTTAAATGCACAACTTTAATCAGAAATATCTGGCTTTACTTACAAGCACTTGATGCATTGTCTCTATTTACCCGCATTTGTCTTAGGGACTTACCGTTTATTTCTTAGTATGGTCAATGACCTTTTAAACTAAAACGCTCAACCTTATTATAAAGGCCAGTAAGAGTTCCATTAGTTATAGCAGAGGGAACAGCTGTGCTGTACTCTGTATCTCCACTGTTTACAAGATGAATCATTCTATTTTTTTATATATATTTTTTTCCAGGGCACTGAGACTATAGACACTGTGCCATGTCTTACAGAAGCACAACCCGATGCATTTACTCCACTCTTCTCCTGATGCTAACAATTGGACTACCGTTTATGAAGTTGGTCCTTGCCGATGAACCCTCTGGCACTACTATTCCTCCAGAAAGTATGTACATGGACTTTTCATTGCAGCATGATAAATCACAGTATCACAGATAAGGCCAGAGAGAATGCCTACAGAGTGTGCTCTGTGTGTAGTGGTGTGTTTTGTGATAATGATCTTGTGTTATCATTACAGTATTATATGAACATCATTATCTCACTTACTTGAGGTTCCTGTATCGCTCTGCCTGGTTGAAACTCAAATTCATGTTATCTCTATAACAAAACCATTTTACAGTGTCATTCACATTATCTACATATCAAAAACATAGTTCATATTATTTATATAATATAGCAACAACATAGCACAGCATAATTCACACTATCTATAAAGGAACAATCTAATACAGTGTTATTATATTATCTATATAGCAAGTAACTGTTATTTATCAAATCAAAATCATGGTATTTTGGGCTCAAGAGCAGTCTCTGAGACCATATACCAAGGTAAATCTTCAAAATATATCTAATTTTCCCTGAATTTACACATTGTTGACATGTATGAAATATGCTGTTTATTCATTGCATTTTTTTTCCCCAAAATTAAACAACCGTAGGTTAAAATAAAGTAGAAACGTTGACATAGAAATTACTGTCTTTTCGTTATTAATTTCTGGGTCTGTACCTAGCCATCCAAATGAAGTCAGTGTCCGGCTCAGGTCGGGTTTCTGTGGGATGCTGTTCAGGAACTGTCAAATTTGTTTGTATTTCATGAAACAAATAATTTATTGTATACAGCCAGATGATCAAGTTCCCAAAAGGAAATTTTAATACAATAAATGTATATATTTATCTATATTTTAAGCTTTAGCCTCCTTCTCCCTTCTGTGGCTAGCTATCCCCAAATGTCTAACTACCTACTCTATAATATACCATGTTTCTACCCTCTACCTCTATATGGTAGTACAAAGTATATGTTTTATAAGGTACATTGATTAAACATATTGTTTAATGCCTAGGCCGACCCTGTGTGGACTGTCATGCCTTTGAATTCATGCAGAGGGCGCTGCAAGACCTGAAAAAAACAGCATATAACTTAGACTCCAGGGTATGTATCATAGATCAAACGTTTTGGTTTTTTTGGACACATGCCAGTGTCATTACTTGAAAACCTGCCATTTTCATTTCTAAAAAGTAACACTCCAAGCACCATAATCACTACAGTGCACGATAATGGTTATAGAGCCAGGAATACCCTGGCATTTCCAATGTAAGGGGATTAGACTAGTTTGACTTCTTACCTGTGATCTTCTGGGGCTGCTTCCAACATCCACTACTTCCTACGGAGAGCCAGAAGATCTCTATATCTGAGCTAAGCCTAGCATTGCAGGGCCTAGCTCATTGTCTGAGGGTGATCAGCTCATATTAGAATATTTTGAGATGCATTTTTCTTTGGATATCCCTATTTATGCATTACGTCTTTTTACTTTTGCAACTACTGACTGACACTGTGCACTGCTGCTATCACTATTATACAACTAGATGTAAATCCATCTCATTTATATCACTTGTATTTATTAGGAACCTGTATAGATGAATTTAGTGAGCAATACATACATTGCAAATTTCAATTTCCAAAAACGTTCCCTAAAAATATAGTAACGACATTTTATTTAAATTTTTTTTAATTATAATTTTTTTAAATTATTTTTTTTATTATTTTAGACGGAGACCCTTCTGCTGAAAGTGGAACGAAGGACACTGTGTGACTGCATTTCTGCCGAGGGTCTCAGCTGATGATAAGAGCACCAGGAAAAGGATGATCACACATCCCTTGCGCTGCTGGAGAGGATTGTCACGTGTTGCTTTACAACGTGTAGCAGGTCCCTCTGGCAGCATAAGGGGTTAAACACCAACCATTAATGATTCCAGATTACACATGACAAACAGCATATCAACTCAACACCGAAATGTGCATGTGTGCAAGAAGGCATTGGGCGGAAAGGATTCTTTATTACGAATGCGATTCGTTTTTTTATTGTTTTCTTGATATTATATTAGACAGATTGCAATATAATTTGATTTTATAAAAAAAAAAAAAAAAAATAATGATTCGCATTAGAGTGAAGTTAACTCTTTTTTGTGCACTTTAAAAGTAACAACGGACATAAAGCAACATTTACAGTATTTGGGTGGCACTGACTTGCACATGAATTTAAATTTTTTTTTGCAGCTAATGGAAAACTGGAGATTGTTACAATGTGTTGCAGCTAGTGTAACCTTTGCAGCTTGTAAATAACACTATGTACACATTTTTACCCCAGTTCACTTACATTAAAAGTACACAAAAGACTGTATGCTGTAAGAAAAAAAAAAAAGAAAAAAAAATTAAACAAAAAAAATTATCTTTTTTTTTTAATATTGGCACAGCGCTGTTGAATTTGTAATTTTTATTTTAATGATTCAAAAGGATTACTCCAGCCACCTTAACCATTTCTGCTTTTAGAAGTGGTTATGGTGGTAGGAATCTGTATGTGCAGATACAGAACAGACAGCAGTTTTGTGCAGGGAGCTAATTGCACCCCAGGCACATGTGACTTAGGCAGCTCAGAACTCTGTCTCCTGCTGCCTAACGTGAGATCTGTGCAAAAATGATGTCTGTCGTCAGCACTTTCTGCCTGCCGGTGACAGGTGGATTTAACTTCCACCGTTGCAGCAGCGCTATGACGGTGCCTGCAAAAGGAAGAGTCAAAGTCCCCTTCCTCCACCCCCTCCTATCCCTCCCATCGCTCCCTGCCTCCTCCATTTAGAACATTTGACATATATAAAGTCCTCTCTCCATCTCTACTTCTTTTCTACCCAACTCAGTGCACATGCACTGTGAGCCAGGGAAAACAGTCCAATCAAATGGATTATGGAGAAAAAGGTTATAGTAACTCTTTAAGATTAGTATTATTTTCTAATTCCCTAAATACTTTTCCAAATGTAACACCTATATGAGTTGGGGCAATGCATTGCTCTCCCATAAGTGATTCCAAGACGTTTATCCACAATTACAAGTTGGGCAGCATGCATTGATCCTGTGATTAGTTTCACTGCCAACTCATGGCAACACACAGCCAGCTCAGAATAATTAAAGGCATACTGTCATAATTGTTTTTATTATTATTCAAAATGAAATGTGTTACATGTGTTATATCCTCTGTGTGTATTCTTTGTAATCCATGTTCGCAAGTAACATAGAAACATAGAATGTGACGGCAGATAAGAACCATTCTGCCCATCTAGTCTGCCCAATTTTCTAAATTCAAGTAAATACCTCTGTACAGTGAGTACAAAACTTATTCTTATCCCCATCTTTAAGTCCTCTTTGACTGGTAGCCTAGCTTGCCCGGCCAAAAGTCTTGCAGGTATTCAAGAGCTAGGTTGCATTCATGAATCATCACGCCAAGTACCAGGAATGTCAACAATGCACTCATGAATGGTTTGTGACCCTGAAATTGTACATTGGTTTAAGTGTAACTTTTGACCAAGAGAACTAATGATGGCTGCCCCCAGAGAGCAAATCTAAGTTAGGGGATACATGGTAACGAGTTATTAACTTATATATGTTCTTTGCAAAATAATACACAACAAAGCAATACTGGATCTAATATTTTATTTTGCAGTAATAATAAAATTGATGACAGTTGCCTTTCAGCCTACACGAGGGAAACTTACCTCCCTCTTGGTGGAGCCAATTTATTGTAATCTGAGCCCTAAAATAATGTTGAGTGAGATTAAACGCAATCAAAGCCAGAAAATGTTATTTTTGCAAAGTGGCTAGTGAATTCACCAAGAGCTTCTATTTGGACAATAGCTACGTATACTTGAGATATATTCCAGCTTTATCCAATGCCACTCTTAATGGGGCTAAAATAAATCTTAACGTAAAAAGCATCTAGTGAATCACCTCCAAACTGTAAGTGGATTTCATATTGACTCCTAACAATTGGCTTAAAAAATTGATCCCAGGCAGGAGAAGGTGCATCATTTGTGTCATTAAAATTATTTCCATTTTCAACTTATATTTCAAAATTGAATAGATGCTGCAATTGTTTTATGTTTTTTGACTAATGGGAATATGCAACAAATAAAAAAAATGTATGCGTTATTGAATGATTGCTATTTGGAATATAAGTCTCTATGCTGCGTGTTACTCACATCGTGACCCTAGAGATTGCTGAGAAATTCTCTACCCAACCAAAAAAATATAGAATGACGGAACCCAGTTTCATCGGACAAAGGACAAATGACATTTTAAAACCAGACAGTAGGCGTGACAATATATTTCAAAATATATACTCAAATGCCTTTAAAAAAAAGTATTTGTACCAAATCTGCTGAAATATTTGAGAAGCTAATTTCCAGATATTTGTATAATCTGTAAACTGTATCTGCATGTTGTCTATAACATCAAGAAGAGTAAATAGAATGGTCTGCCGGAGAGGAGGCATTGCCACCGATGCTCCTCTCAACACTGGAGATAATGGACAGGCACACCATGTAAAAAGGTGGGTCTGCCCACTGAAGGGGCCTGTCTGGCCATGCTCCAACCAGCAGAACTTTGTAGAGAATGCTGCAGAAAAACTCTCTGCAGGGCCCTCTTGATAGGCTTATGCCAGGCTGCCCGAAGACAGTTCCCTGTGGTCCCTGGATGTGGGTTATGAGGGAACAAAATGGAGACAATGGAACTAGACCCAAAATTGGGAGTGTTGGAGGGCCTGCATGCAACATTGTTAAAGTGGAACTGTCCCTGCTAGAGACGCAACAGTTTCTTGTTCCTTTAATCAAAAAACGCAGCATTACGAGGAGTGCAACACTTATCAAAATGACTTAACTTGTGTTGGTGCCCAGAGTGTTCCTTTAATCTGGTTAATCTATAAAAACATTAAGGATATTGCAACATTTACTGACATGAATAAAGCAATGGAGTAGGAAAAACATGTACTTACGTCTGCTCCACTTCCACCTTCTATCTGAGGAAGTCTTTCCACGATGTCTCAGGTGTTCTCATGGGTCCTCAGACATCTATAGAGAAATTCTGTACACGTACATACATACTAGGGGTATTGCACAGCAGAGGATGACTGATTTGCGTGTTTTTTTCCAGTATGCCCAGAAACACCTGTAAATTAAAATAAAATGTATTAAAATAAAAAATTAATCTCAAAGGAATTTTAAAAATAAATAGCTAACTTGGTGAGCTATTTCATTGTGCTAAAATTTCTGTAGTGCCAATTCTAATTTAAAATCATAGGCAGTGTATATCGTTTTGAAAATGTCTAAAATTTCATTGTGACCCTGATTCTATAACCTTTTTCTAAGTCCTCACCATTTAGTTTTCTCCCCTCCAGATATTGTTAAAGCCTACAGATCAGCACTGCAAAGGAAGGGGTAGCATAAAATTGCACATTTAATACTTACATATAGAAACATAGAATGTGACGGCAGATAACCATTTGTCCCATCTAGTCTGTACAATTTTCTAAATACTTTCATTAGTCCCTGGCCTTATCTTATAGCTAGGATAGCCTTATTCCTATCCCACACATGCTTAAACTCCTTTACCTCTACCACTTCAGCTGGAAGTCTATTCCATGCATCCACTACCCTCTCAGTAAAATAATACTTCCTGATATTATTTTTAAACCTTTGCCCCTCTAATTTAAGACTATGTCCTCTTGTTGTGGTAGTTTTTCTTCTTTTAAATATGGTCTCCTCCTTTACTGTGTTGATTCCCTTTATGTACTTAAATGTTTTTATCATATTCATAGCTTAGTAGCCCTTCTCTGAACTCTCTCTTAAGTATCAATATCCTTCTGGAGATACGTCTCCAGTACTGCGTACTCTGTCATTTAAAAAGACCTGTGGGATTTAGAGTTTCACACAAGCTATTTTTTTATAGCCTATATTTGAATAAAGGATTTATTTCCCATGTGAGTGTTACTTTATAATATAAGCAAAATTAATTTGTCCGTATATTTCTATAGAATTTAATGAATTTATTATCATTATTGCCTGCCTCCGAACCATTTATTAATAAAATTTTATCGGGCAGAGGGAAACCATCAAAGTCATTAAGGTCAATAGTGTATCGCTGAGCACATCAACACACAAAAACCTGCTCACATGTTCTCATAGATCACTTACACTGCAGCGTCTGGGTAAGGATTAAATGACTGAGGATCAATATGGGCTGCCCATCTCTAGGGTTGATCACCCTTTCTATTAAATAAGAAATGCTCCATTCCCTATCATGACATGTGCATAGTCACCTCTGCGGCATATGTTTACCCCAACACCAATCCCCATAAAAACACTGGCACCATATTTTTAGTAAAATAAATTATCACAGCGTATTATCATACGTTTTAACAAGTAAAAAATGAAGGTACTTGTCAACACAATGCCAACACAATGCCAACTTTGACATGTAACTCCGCCATTGTTGTGACTTTACAACCATCCTGCCTTTATACAATTAAAACCCCCGACAATGACCCAATTTTACATAAACAATAAATCCCAACAACATTATAACACCATATAATTAACGTTGAACACATAACCATTGCCACTAAGGGCATCCATTTTCACAGTTCCACGATTGTAGGGGTATACCGAGATACCTCTACACACCCAGGTTCTTACCTACCAACGAGCCCGAACCTACCAAACCAGTCCAAAGGCCTACCTTTTTTCCCTGAACTAATCATTTTACCCCATATCAATCCGACCTACCCCCCAACTTTTCTCACCATCCCCTGCCGCCGTGACCAAAACGGGAAATAAATAAAGGGAGGGAGGGAAGGACAACAACAGGTAAGTTCAGACTAAAATGGCCCCTTCATATATAGCCTGTAAGCTCCACCCATGATGTTATTTTAAACCAATCCCACACACCAACGTCACTATATGCCTGTCTCCTTGCAATGTCAAGGCCCACTCACCTTAGCTACGCTGGTGCATGGGCTACAAGGTGCATACTGTTAAGGGGCATAACCTGTGTTACCCAGGCAGGGCCGGGTTTCGCATTACTCAAAAGATGCACCTGCCTACAGATTCACAACTCATGGGGTGGTTAATACTCTGCCTGTTAAAAAAAACAAAAACAAAAAAAAAAAACATGGTGTGTGCTGCTTGCTGACCGGAAGAGAAGCTACTGGACTCTGCGAACGCTGAATTCAGTCTGAAGAACCTGATCTGTGCATGGCCCCGCCCCCTCACACACTCACGTACTCCTTAATTGCGGTTAACAGCCGGGGGTGGTGTTCTCAGTCACTGGGGGACCACACAAATTCGGTTCGGTTCCCAAACAGGGGGTACGGATCAGTTCTCAAGAACTTCATATGGGTTCGGGCAACCCCAGGGACTGATGCCCGGTCCGCCACAGAGCCTCTATGCTATTTTGTCATACCCAACATATCTGCTATGCTGGTCTTCCAGTCAAATGCAATAATTTTATGCATCTTACAGTGTACTTTGATCAACTTTTTTTTTCTCTGTCATGACGAAATATGTTCAATAAAGCTTTTGAAACACAAAAATAAATAAATAAACATTCACCCGTTGATTGTTCCCACATTTTTATTTTTTTAACCTGGAATTAAACCGAATTTTCTTGTGATTTCTATCATTTAATTTTAACACAGGAGCTCAGCTCACACATATCCTTAATTGGCTGAGCTACATGATTAACTATCCAATCAGTTTTTTTTGTAAAAAGCAAGACTATCTTAATCGTGGGGCAAACAGGGCCCAGTTATTCCTGGTGGGCCCGCTACCCTCAAAAATTTCTTTTAGATGGCCCATGGGCCCGCCGGTGCTGCGGCTGCACCAGGGCCTGCACACTAAAGGTGCCCACTGGGTGGCCCATGCACTTAGGGCCACCTAGTGGGCATGTGTCAGTAGGGGACCGGCCTTGTCCCTTCTTGTCGTCAGCTGCAACTCCATCTTATTGGCAGCATGGGAGGAAAAGAAAGCCTGTCATTTCAACCCATAGAGACTGGAACCGCTAGAGAGAGCGAAGAGGCAGGAAGGAGAAGGGCTTGACCGGGAGTCCCCAATTCCCAAAATTCCCAGCCAGTACACTGAACCACAGGGAAGCCACCCACCTGCAAAGGTAGAAAACTGTAGGGTGGCTTTAAAAATGCTAAAGTTTGCATGTGTTTGTGTCAGTATGTCCATCTGCATATGTGTGTCAGTATGTCTGTCTGTGTGTATGTCAGTATGTCTGTATGTGTGTGGGTCAATATATCTGCCAGTGTGTGTGTCTATGTGTCTCTCACAGTGTGTGTGTCTGTGTCAGTTTGTCTCTCAGTGTGTCTGTTCCAGTGTGTGTCAGTATGTCTGTCAGTGTGTCTGTGTGTGTATAAATATGTCTGTCAGTGTGTCTGTGTGTCAGTATGTCTGTGTGTATCTCAGTATGTCTGTCAGTGTGTGTGTGTGTGTGTGTGTGTCAGTACCTGTAAGTATGTGTGTCAGTATAACTGGCACAGTGTGTGTCAGTATGTCTGTCACAGTGTCTCTGTGTGTGTGTCAGTATGCCTGTAAGTGTGTGTGTCTGTGTGTGTGTCAGTATGACTGTAAGTGTGTGTCAGTATGTGTATCTGTATGTTGTTAGCATGTGTATCTGTGTATCAGTGTACAGCTCTGTGAAATTTGTTTGCGCTATATAAATAATAATAATAATATTATACATGCGTGTATCTTTGTATCTGTATGTAGTCAGTGTATGCACCTGTGTATCTGTATGTAGCCAATGAGTGTATTTGTGTATCTGCATGTGTACCTGTATCAGTCTGTGTATCTGTGTGCCTGTTTCTGCATGTGTGTCAGTGTGTATATATGTGTCTATATATCTGCATGTGGGTCTGTGTTTATATCTGTGCATCTGCATGTGTTTCAGTGTGTATGTGTGTTTATATCTGTGTGTGTGTGTATGTATCACAGTGTGTGTGGCAGTGAATGTGTATATGTACATACATGCATTCAAACGCCAACACAAATACACCCCTGGATTCAAACGTCAACACTACATACAAACACATTTAGTGCATTGAAATGTCAACACTACATAGAAACACACTTCTGAGTTTAACACCAAAGTTATATATAAAACACACCCCTGCATTCAAGAACCAACACTACACATAAATGCATGCTTACATTCAAGCACCAACATCACATACAGACACATACCTACATTCACATAACCATACTCATTACAAAAACATGCTTACATTCAAACACACAAACACTGCTCAGTGCTAAATACAACCCTGCAAGCATGGGAAAATGATAGAGCCCCAGCTGTCAAAGCATTGTTGGAGTTGCATGACAGATGGGGATCTACCTTTTGGTCACCCTTATTATTTATTATTATTTTATTATTTATATAGTGTAACCGTGGCTGGTTCCCTTATTTACCACTATAATGTCTTAAAGCATAGAACTTAGTAGGGCTAACCATACAGATATCTTAGCCATAATTTTATATAGTTAGTGTAAGAGATCCTCTATTTAACATATATAAATAATTGAGAATACAATATAAAATAAGGGTTGTCTTGGAAGCAAGATTGTCTTTTGGATATTTATTATATAAAAATATAAATATAAAATCCATTATAGCAGAGTTTATAAGATTAAATTACATGCTTGCAAATATCATTAATAGGTTAACATACCCTTCTGAACATGTCATCATGTCAGCCTCTCTGTCATTTTAAGATGGAGCAGCGTCTGTCTCCAAGTCTCTCCTCTGTGTCTTAACATTAAAAGTACACCTATTACCATTTTAGGGTTACCGTTTAGGGTTTCATTTACTTTATTCATTTTAGGACCTCCCTTAA